GTCGTGAATAGATTCTCGAAAATGGCACACTTTATACCATGTCATAAAAGTGATGATGTTGTTAATGTTGCTGATTTGTTCTTTCGTGAAATTATTTGCTTGCTTGGTGTGCTGAATACTATTGTTTCAGATCGTGATACTAAATTTCTTAGCCACTTTTGGAGATGTTTATGAGCTAAGTTGGGGACTAAACTGCTTTTTAGTACTACTTGTCACCCCCAAACTGATGGTCAAACTGAAGTAGTCAATAGAACATTGTCTACTATGCTTATGGTTGTTTTGAAGAATAATAAGAAAATATGGGACGAATGCTTGTCTCATACTAAATTTGCTTATAATCGTTCGTTGCATTCTACTACTAAGATGTGCCCTTTTGAAATTGTGTATGGTTTCCTACCTCGTGCACCCATTGATTTGTAGCCTCTTCCATCTTTGAAGAAGGTTAATTTTGATGTTAAACAACGTGCTGAATTGATCCTAAAAATGCATTAGTTAACTAAGAAAAACATTGAGTGTATGCATGCAAAATATAAAGTTGCTGGAGATAAGGGTAGAAAACATGTTGTGTTTGCACCTGGAGATCTTGTTTGGTTACATTTGTGTAAGGATAGATTTCCTGATTTGCGTAAATCAAAGCTAATGCCATGTGATGATGGTCCTTTTAAGGTGTTAGAGAAACTAAATGATAATGCATATAAACTTGAGTTGCCTGCAGATTTTGGGGTTAGTCCCACTTTTAACATTGCAGATTTGAAGCCTTATTTGGGTGAGGAAGACGAGCTTCCATCGAGAACGACTTCATTTCAAGAAGGGGAGGATGATGAGGACATCAATACCATTGTTACACCTACAGCCCCTGCTGCTATACATACTGAACCAATTACTAGAGCTCGCGCACGCCAATTAAATTATCAGGTACTTATATTTCTTGGTAATGATTCTAATGTTCATGAGAATATGATGCTGCCTAAATTGAATACATTTGTCTTGCTTTGAAATGAAGGGCCTAGCTTGGACAAGAAGGATGAACAGTGGAGCAAGACCAAAGCATGGAGATGATGGCATGCGCTAGGGGAACAAGAACAGAGTTACAAGTGATGATTTCAGGACTTTAAAGCCACCATAATGAGTGCATGAGGCCTTGAATGAAATATACAAGATGCCACTTCATAAATTTTGTCCAAAGGCTATTATAGGTGCTGGGTCACCTTATTATTGGGCCAGGCCCTTGCAATTTCGAAATACTTGAGTATAGGCTATTTTTAAAGTCCGTATGTGTGGGGAAACAAGAGATAGGGTTGGTTTCGGGCCCCTCCTTCAAGGGCCACAAAATTCCCCCATCTTCCTCCATATATACAGCCCTTAGGGCACCGTTTAGACTTTAGGTTTAGATTAAAAGTTCGTCATAGCTGCAACTTCGCGTACTTTGTTTGTGTTAAATGACGAGACCAAGGCGTCATAGAACCCCACCTTGATCAATAAAGCTTTCATCTTATATTCGCAATATCGAGATTGCAATCGTAGTTTCTTGCTTGTTCTTCGTTTGCTTGCAGGAAATAGACCTTCGTGGTCAGGTTGATCGTGCTCCGGCGTGGTCAATAACCTCTCGGAGTTGGTTTAGCGATTGCTAAGGCGCGCCGTCTTCGCATGTTCATAGTCGAATCGTCAAAGTCTACTCCTCCGAAACGATAATCACCATCTCATCGAAAGACGGGACACATTTGCCTCTATTATTGTCCAATATGCCTTGGCTCAAAATGGTATGGTAGAATCCTTTATCCACAGAGTTAAGCTCATTGCATTATCCCTACTTTGGAATTGCAACTTACCAACTTTACGTTGGAGTCATGTAGTTTTACACGCTCATGACCAAACTGCATAATATTATTCCCCTCTATCTTTGTTACCTGAAAATCTACCAAGTATTTCCCATCTGCGGTAATTCGGTTGCATACCGATATCACCACCCCGGCATACATCACTTGCCCTCAATGTATACCTGGGATCTACGTGAGAAATAACTGTATTTCCGTCAATACCTTAAGCCCCTCACATGGGGATTTATTCAAGGCCAGTATGTTGATTCAGTGAGGAACATTTCTAGGCATTAGGGGGAGATTTCAAGTAAAGAATGACAGGAAATTAGTGGAATGTTCAACACATTTCTGCCTCAAATCTATGTACTCAAAGATCTGAACCATGCGTTCAGAAGATTTGCAACACATTGCAAATAACCTGCCAAATTCATTTACTGACTATAAAGGTGTCACACAATCCTACAATCCTGCAAAAAAATGCCTGAAAGAGTGAAGGTACCAACAAAAACCACTCAACTCCCCGTTCAAAGCAACAGGAGGAGAAGTACGGCAATAGTACATCAGGATTCAGCTTCTTGCAAGTAAGGATTCAAGGCCTCTGAATCAGTAAATGCAAGTCAACTTTACGTTGACAGACACCTAATGGGTAGTATACACCCAGTGAATGAGAAACCTCCACCAACCCAAGTCTGCTCACAATGACCGGGACATCGGAATACCCGACTCAATCGCATTGGGAAATCGCGAGCAGTCACCATGGGTAACGATATTTCCATCAACTATATATATATATATATATATATATATATATATATATATATATATATATATATTCTGGAGAAACATATAATGAGAAGTCTATAATTGTCGACGTACATTTCTCAACTAGATTGGAAAAACCTTTCAAGTGATTCAGATCCAAAGACCATGGCCATGGCAAAGTGTGAACAACAGTTGAACTGAACTCAAGCAAAGGGTATAATCTAGGTAGAAATAATCTTGCTCAATAATGGGAAGGTATTCATAAGCAATACCTACACCAGTTTTCTTCTGGAAACAGAATTGAGAACAATGAGGTGGTGAAACATAAAACAAGTATTGTAGCACAAGGGTTCATGCAGATACCCATATATTCTCCATAGATGGAATCTCTTTCCGATAATGTATATCATTAGTAGTACAAAATCATCTATCTATGCAGTTGATAGGTGTAGTGACTACATATCCATATGGATCACTAGATTCAGACATAGATGGTTCCTAATGGAATATCACTACTAAATCAAAATGCAACATGCATTGTGTAAAATCAGCATGTCACTATACGGCTTATTGTTGTCGGTATATTTTGGTACAACCGACGTAATGAGTTTCTTAACACAAGGATTACTCCTACACTGATGATTACCCATACATGTTAAGCATGTGATCATTTAAATGACGGAATTTGAGATGAAGGATCTGGGTAAAACCTCGAGCACCTTCACTCATACATTATGGTACACATGTTGTCTATATCCAAATTATATTGGAAAAATTGATTGTGGACAAGTCTTATCCATTCATAATTTCCATGGTTATTTGTTCTCTAATCGTTGAGAAAGATCCATCTAGACCATGAAGAGATGGAAATAAGATGTTGGGACTTATGGTTTCATATCACAGTGCATGCATTGGATCCATCAAACACAATTGGTTGACACTAAAGAATATCTTTCAATGTCTCCAATGCATCAAACATCTTGTCCTAATCTTTCGTTTTCAGAAAAATCTTGTCCTAATCCCAACTATGTCAGATCATGGACAAGCTTTGTGTTCCTGTTAGGTGTGGTAGTCATCTCATAAGTCTTCGAATCAAACCTTATGGCTACATCCACCAACCATTATCTTAAAGATAATGTTGCTTGTGTTGCCCGAATGTAAACAGGTTACGCAATAAGCAATATCGCTATATTGCATATCTTGCAAATCAATATCGCTATATTGCATAGCTTGCAAATCAAATCATGTGACTGATTTGTTCACCAAATCTCTACCAACTTCTACATTCACAAATATGTTCATCGAAGTGGTATGTGATGGCTTTGGAATTTGCAAGAATCAGGGGGAGTATCTTCCTGAATCGTTCCTATTTAAAGCATCATATTATACTCTTTTTTTCTTCATGAGTTTACTTTACAAGTTCTCATAAAGGTTTTTAATGAGGTAATATCAACATAAAATCATATGACATACTTTTTGTTTTTCCCACTGGAGTTTACAGGAAAATATATATGACATATTTATTATCCTTTAAATTCTACCTTTCTCCTCATATTTTTCCCACGGGGTTTTGGAGGAGTCCCTATGAAGATGGTTATGCTCACAAAGTACAAGCTGTGATTAGGGTGGGTGTTAATTAATTAATATGTGTTAATTAATGGGTTAATCACTGCTTTATAGGAACTGTCGGCAGTCGTCTTTTGGCAACAGTCACGACAGTTGCTCGCATCCTCCTATATGGGCGCCTATTGAGAAGCGTCCCTTGCATTGTATAAATAGCAGCTCTCATCAATAAAGATTAACTGTTCACTTTTACATCTCTATGTCGACTCTCTCTGGTCTTCCTTTAACAATCTCTTCTACCCATAATTGGTTTGGATAGCCAAAAAATTATGAGTGTGCTGTTTGAGATGCTCTTAGGACTAACTTGACACCCTTGTTAGTTAAATGCACGAGTGGTGCATTTCACTCTGGAAATATAATTTTCAATGCCTGAGAGAAAACATCTCCAATGCTAAAGTTCTACCAATGCCCAAATCAAACCGATGCATCAACTGCTCGATGAAATAAAAGGTGTCGGGAACTAGTTACATGTCAGAGTAAATTTGATGTAAACCTATAAACAGATGTGCACAGTTCTGAAATCATTTCAAATGATTGCTCAGCTAAATTCATTCTAATTGACCATCTTCAATTCAATTTGTTCCTATAATTGACCATCTCCAATTTAATATGAGATGTCATGGTTATCTAACCT